GATGTTATATTTTATAGTAATTACCTAATACATACAATCACACGAACTATCAAAACAGAGTTGGTTAGATAAAAAACTATCTATAACCACATGAGTTGTATTGAAGTTACATTCAACATCAAGTAGTTAGATAAACTTGGAAATTATTTTTAATATATTATTTTTGCGGGATTCAAATGTCGCCAAATTCACACGAAGAATAATCCTCGAGGTCATTTGAAGTGAAAAATAGGTGTACCAACACATAACGATTTTTCAAACATAAATTATTGGCTTTTTTTTCATCGAGCTTAGGCGATTAATGTCTCTTGTTATTTGATTAATCACGAGACCTTACGATTGATGTAAAATGCACAGTAGATGTCGATTGTAATTTTTGATCATAAGATTTCTAAATAACCCACTGCTATAGTTATTATAGGCATTTAAGTATAATTTAAGTATATGGATAAGCGACCCTGAACTGTACCTAATAAATGTGTATTCGCGTGTTGCTGATCGGAATTTCATTTATAAATATCTCTGTACGTTATCAATTTTTTTCATGAAATAATATAACATACAAATATTTTAACCTTACAATTAACATTGAATTTCCTCCATACGGCTATAACTTTTCCAATTCATACAAAATGTTTCCAACTGTGCTTAATAATATAAAAAGGTCTAATTTTCTTTGCTTACTTGGTATACATATACACGGTATTTATGGTTTATATTCCTTATTTTGATTAGCCCCCCTTGAAGTATAACTCTAGGTACTCCTTAATAATGGCGTATTTGGTAAAAATATCTAATGGTAAAAATATCCAAACAAAAATATATTATTCCTATCATGGGTTTACATCGGTATTCAATTATATGAGTTATACTTTAATACCAATAATGTAATATAAATTATAAAATAGCATTTAAATTAATAATGGAATCAAAGCTTAACAAACTACATTTACAGTGCATAGCTGCATACATACAGTGATGTACAGGTGTATAGTAAAATAAAACTCTCCAGAGTTTATGAATTCAAAACTTTAAGCAACTCATGTTTGTAAGAAATAAGTACCATATTAAAAATATATTTCTATACAAATGTGTTTTAATAAATGTTTTATGACATGTAGATTATTTATTGCATATATATTTAGGCGATAAAATGCTTCATTTTTTTTCATATTTTGATATTTTCGTTCAAATCAAATGGAACAATGTAATTTATCATATTATTTTAACACTGTAATGCGACCGATAGCACGTATCGTACTATCGAGTTAATGTGCTGTCGGTTAAGGCCCCTGCAAACCTTATCAATTTTTCATTAAAACGACCTCAGAGATTAACAACAATTTAGCTAGTTTGAGTACCTAGAGTTCGATTTAAAAATTTGTTGAGATTTTTGATTTGTTAAAGAAGTAAACTTTGCATCGGTCAGAGCATATATTAATAATAGTTATTAATGTATTTAAACATTAGTGATATAGGGCTTCAAAATTTTAAGATCGTATCAATTTTAAAATAGTGAAATGGTGTCATTATTTTGCAGCAACAAGTCCTACCAAAACCGTTAGAAACAAACATACTTTATGGATGCCTCTTCACGTGGTACCTCGAATTTTTCCTACCGAGTTGAAGTGCGAACTTCACAAACGTTATATATATATTTAATATAAAAAAATGAAAAGTTGATAAAATTTAAAATATTTATCCTCGTCAAGAATTCTTTAAAATTGAAAAAGAATTCTCACCGATGGAAAGTAATATTATTGTGCATGCGTTCAAATATCTTACATTTTTTTGAATCGAATCTTTGAAAGTACTTGAATTTTTGTTAGGCGTATAGCTATTTCATCTCCATTATATTGGTTTTGAATATTTTAAATGATCATTAGATGACATGTGCATGCGTGAGCGTAATATCTATGATGAAGATGGTTGGTGGAAGTATACGCACACTAATGATCATTTACTACCCTCACAAAGACGAGCTGCGACTGCAAGGAACGAAAGAATTGCCCAAACATAACTCCTTAAAAATGGCAAATTTACAGGAGCACTAAGCTATATGTTTACGACAAAGATAAAAAAAAATTAAAACACCTTTATTATCATATTGATATTATTATTAGTTATATAAGTACTATATAACACTGTCTAACCTGTTCAATTAAAAATACAAAAACGATTTTTCTAAATTTTTAAATTGAGATATTTTTTCCTAGAATATATTAATACAACTATACTAGACACAGTATTAGTAGTATTATGAATTTATGAGGGTATATAGAAATGTAATTTTAAAAAAAATTTCGGCAATCTTTATTTTTTATCATTTGTTAAAAGTGCATACTGTAGAGGTACTTAAAAAGTTGTGTTTCATAACACAAAACCCATTTTGTTTTCAATGAGTAGTGAAACGCTTTTAGGAGCTACTGAAACCTAGGTAACAAGCAGTTTTTTCTCTCTGCACAGGAAGTAGTCTTGGGAAAAAGAACCACCAACGCCATGTGGAAGGCAACTGAAAATTATTACATGCAATGTTTTCTAGAATTCTAACTCCAATAACGTTAATATAAATATAGTGTACAGTCAACCAATCGCAGGATTGTAAGACTAAAATAGTACTTTGATGTATTGTCAATAGTTTTACTTTTATTTTAATTACCCACCCACTCGCTCGATTGCTGGGTAAATATTTTGGTTTTGACTTTTGGTTAATGTTGTTATAAATATTTATTCGTTTTATATTGTTTTCTTTGTTTGAAACTTATGTATGATAATAGCTGTGTCCCTGTGTAACCTGACTTCCCCAGTAAAAAAATGAACATTCATAATAATGCAACTCTATACCAGTGTACCTCACTTCTTGAACTAATTCGACCAAGATGGTCAATCTGTCTATGGCAGATTGGATATTATAGTATTTGGTATACAGTCCAGTCACCATAACTCAAAGTTGAAGATAGATAAAAATCAAAAAATCCGAATATATATATTATTCGAGTTACCTAACTCGAATTTTACCTAACCTAACCTTAAGACCTCAAGAGAAATAAAAAAAATAAAGTTGTTAAGTTTTACCAGTTATAGTGACTGGAGAGTCGACTGTTTTTTCAAACAAAGTTCTAACTACTCTCTACATGCAGATAAATCTAAGAACAAAAAATCTCTGACATTTTCGTCAAAATCTGTCGAGTAGTTTTTGAATATATAATATTATACAAATATAAATTCATTTTTATATGATAATATATAGATTAAATAAAAGTTCATTTTATTTCTGTTACAACCCCTATTTATCAAGTTCCACGAGCAAAAACTAAATTTTTGAGTGAGCCACATCATGGAAACCAATAGGGGTTAAAAAACAAAGCTATGATAACACCTTCCGAGTCTCAAAGAACACAAGTGCACAATTTGGTGCCATGTGGTTCAATAGCTTCCAAGTGTACAAGCCCCATACAAACGTACATTAATTTTTATATAGGTAATATAGATAGATAAAACATATACCTGTAGGCTACAATAATTACAAAAAGGGGAAAAGTATATAGGTAATAGCCCTGCTATTCGGTAGGGGTCGAGCGTACCTCGTAGTCAGTCATTGATTAGGAACTGTAATGGATGTATTAAATTTGAATTCAATGATAAATCATTGTATAGGTACTATAAAAAAATATTCTAGGCGAAGAAAGTCTAGCTTTTTGGCAACCAATTTAAAAATTAATGTGCGTATTTTATTCCCGAATATTTTAAAAGTACTGAGAATTTTCAATTTTGGAAAGTACTAACTATAGATCCGATAAGGTAATATGATCAGAGTATTTTTTATACTAGAAACTTGTCTTCGGGCATATAAAAAAACACTTCATTGCAAAACCAATACAATACATTCATTGCTTCTCTCAGAATCTAGAATACATTTTTAATTAAAATGTATGACGTCTTTTAAATTACTATGGAACTAAGACGATTTGAAAGAAATTAGAAAATTCTTTTTTCTAAAAATATTGAATGTTCAAATTGATAAACTAGTAATGGATCTGTAAAACTAATAATCAATTAATTTTGAAAAATAATTTAATGTAGGTAGATGATTCGAAATTCTAATTTTACAAATTTGTACAAATAATTACATACTTATCTTAAGTTAGGTATAGTATATACATAGCTATTTTAAATTCTTTGATGGGGCGTGTGTCACATATTTCTTTTAACCCTACTAAAAAATAATTTCATCTCGTACATATGACCCCCTATCGTCCTATTTTAAATACACCAGTTATTTTACTTAAAGTAACGAGGAAAAACAATTGTTAATTTTTATATTTCAAGACAAATATTATCAAAGAATATCCACTAAAATAATTCATAAAAAAAAATACAATATATTTAAGAAACTAAACACGAAGACATTCGCTGTCCAATTATAGTTATTGTTTTATTATTTCCAGTCGTTTTTTGAAAAAAAAGTGCCTATTAATTAAATTATTTTAACTTATTTTAAATGTTTATTTTGTTTTTTATATTTAAAATATGTTATGTCTTGTAATGTTAAGTATAGTTAGTAGGTACTATATATTATAGTAGAACAGGTTACGTTAAGTTATAAGTACCTGCTACATCAAGTATACATTGCAGGAAACCATTTTAATTGATCCATGATTACGTTATACTTCTGAATATAACAGTAAAATTATTAAATTAGTATACGTGTGATATGACGACATGACATAAAAAACATGTAACGCCAACTATTTTACTTAGGTGTCCATTTGCATTCATAATTCATATAATCATATAGTACCTATACGGCCATACACTATCAGTAATCATTCTCCCCTCCGAAATATTTTTAACGCGCGATACTTTCACCTATTCCAGTTCATGTAATACGTTATCTTTGCGAGTATTCTTATCACTTAAACTCAAAATTGTTTGGACTACACAATTTTTACATATTTTAGACTTAAAAATAAAAAAATTAAAACACAATCTGTAATTACCTTTTTCGTAGGATGTATGACAGTAGAAACACGTGTATCCGTCGTTTATGTAGTCGTTGTGTTCCATTTTTATTTTTTTATTCTATGAGCTAAAACGATAAACTTAAAAATATAACAGTCTTGAAGAGAGCACGATAATCGAACAGCCGAAAACACTGGACGACAAAATTGTCGAGAAATGTCTGTCACCACACGCGTACCTACGGTATATCGATCGAGATTTAATGATTAAAACTAATTTGTACATAAAACGATGTATTTACAACGAAAAAGACAACAACAATCGAGGTAAGTATAAGTGACTAGACCGTACACTGGATGGCACAAATCGTTGTTAGACAGGCAGACAGCAGCTGTTGTGCAATTGTGTGTCACGCACGACGGTGGGGACCGTAGTGCAGACCAGACGCCCGGAGAATGACTACCTACAGCGAGCGTGGACGGAAAAAATCAATACCTCATGCTCGCATGTGGCGCGCAAATGCACGGACGTCGGACCGTGGTCCGCGTGTGGTGCATATATTACGTTATTAATATTATTATTATATCGTCGTACAATAATCTGTCATGCTGTGCATTGTTTCGTTTTTTTGGTCAGCAGATTTTATAACGTCCTCGCGTGTAGTTGCGAATAATATACTATAGAGAACGATCGCACGCGTACTACGCTATTTATAATAATTTTTAATATCACAATATTGTGTATGGGTAGGTAGTGATCTCAGGCGACCGCGCAGAGCCGGATCGAGGCGAACTATCATCAAGGGTTAGTTCACTCCGAATCTTGTTCTTACATAATTTATTTTAATCGTCGCTGTCGTCTTAATTGTTTCTCAACATGACATTTAATAAATTAAATTTCTGTGTATTTTCCCTACCTAAACATAAAACCTCAGATTATTATAATATTATAAAGAAAATAATTTGCATACTGTCGTTTCGACAATAACGTCTGGACACACCACAGTAATCAATAAACCAAATTTAATATTTAAGTGAGTTGAGTTAGCAGTGAGTAAATAAATTATAAATATTTACAATAAGTGTTATATTGTTTTACTATTTACAAGAAATGTAATAATATATGATAATATAATAATACAAATAATATAATTACCTATATTAGTATATTGTATAATATATATTTTAGACTATATAGTCTAGAACTAAGGGCACATAAGTTCATTAAATAAGGATAAGATACATTATACTACGCATGCGTTAAAAAAATAAAAAACAATAAACATATTTTATGTAGTAAATATAAATAATATATAAATAAGTGTACAAACTTCGAGAGAGGAGCCACTATTCATAACACTACAGGTTGTTTTTTAAATTTTCATTTATTTATTTTTTGATTTGAATGCATATTAAATTAGTACCTATCATGAATCTAGGATATCAAGGTAACGGCACACTAAAAAATCAAAACTAAATAAAAAAGGATATTGTTATAATTCGTCAGTTCATCCTACACTGAATTGAATTATACGATGATTCAATAATTTAGTTTATATTTATGTACATATTTTCGAACTCAGACAGGCATTTTTTTTTTAACTATCAAAAATATTCAACGGATTTTATTATTGAGACACTCTGGTAGGTAGTCTTGTGTTCACCTATTAATGATAAAACGAACTTAAAATATTGTTTGAATCAAATGGGATTGGACATTTACAGTTTTTAAGGAGTTCTAAATAGGCAATTTCCAAATATCATCCATGTGGGCCTTGTAAATGTGTACGTACTACGTAGTAAGTGATCATTAGTGTGTAAACGAAATAACGGAGCGCTCCGGCACACTCATGTACAAGTCAGCGCCTCGGTATTGCACACTTGCAGATCGGTAAACAATATTTGGTAATTTGTATGTAATTTTTTTCAATCCAAACCGATCGACCTAATTATGGGATAATATCTCAGAAAACTGATCTACATTTTTTACAATGTCTACTTGAGATCGGTCAGTCCACATCTTTAGATATCTGATTTAACTTTCGTAAAATCAACATTTAAAATGTTGTAAATTTTAAATATTCAAACGAAATGTATAGGAGTTTAGGAAGAAAATTTAAAAAAAGTGGCCAGATCGATCTCAAGTAGATATATTAAAGAATTCAAATCGAGATTGATATATTTTGATTGAAATAATTGTCCGTTTGCGATCCCTTTAAGTTTTATCTACCTCAATACAAGCGATTTAGCAATAGTGATTAGTTGTTAAATATCCTCTTTGTATACAATGCAAATGTTTAAGGTTCACCTAATAGTGTACCTAGGTGAAACTTAGTTGAAATTCACATTCAAATGTATGACTAATGTATATTTACCTATAATGTGTATATAATTTTTCATATTTTGGAAGTGAATGACATTTATGCGAATATACATTTAAACTAATAGATTATAATACACACAAAATACTGATAATAGTTGTTATAGTTGTTTAAATCGATAGAAAATCTAATATTCTGTTAAACGTGCACGCTTGTTGCCATAATTTTGGCACATATTAGGATATATTATTAATATTTAAACTTTTTGTACCTAGTGCATATTAATATGAAAATATATTATGTATGATATACCTACTATACTGTTGGATTTAATTAAGTGTATGTAAGTATGTTATATCGTATAAAAAACCTCAATTAAAATATTTAGTATATACATATATAAGTAATATATCATATTATCATACAGTATAGGTACACAAGTAAAAAACTCTTTGAAATTGAGAAACTGGGAAAAACGTAGCAATGTACGACGCGGATAATGAACCCATTTACAATTTAACGAGAGCTTAATTAAATCTGATATTGATCGAGAGCTCAACGCGTCGCAGGTATATAATGTTGGTTTGACTTGGTCTTACTAAAAGTAAATATTATTAAATATTAGAGTATTAGTGCATATACAGTATATAGTACATCGATTCGTGACGTTTTGTTGATTAGTGAGTTTGTATAAAGATTGAACAAACAATCATTATATATTATTATATAACATGACGTGAGTAGTGTGTGTTAGTGTGTGAGAGGGGTTTTTATTAATAATCTTCAGCACTAAGGAGAATGTGATACGTAGTGTCCAGAAGAACAAAACAGTTTTTTATAAAAAATGAATTAAAATGTATTGTATTTATGTACGAATAATAAATAATACCTATGGATTTAAATTTAAAGAAGAGATTTACATAAAATAATTAGTCAAAAATGAAAAAGGACTACGACAATATTCTAATAATTTTCTCTATCCTATTCGGTAAAAACTTTTTAAAAAATGTGATGTTTTATTTGAAATTTAAAACTGACTATACTTGTATAATATTTAACCCTATAGAAAGATAAGAAAAAAACCGGTGGTGTGCCAGTGTGATCGTCGTTGTTATGTTAGATTGCGTCATCTGCTAACGTGAAATTATGAAAATCACATCTGTCTTACAACATTACTTTTATAGTATAAAATTACCCCAATCAAACTGTTGATGTACAAAAACATGGGTAATAATACTATAGACGTCTCTGTTGAATCATCAGTAATGCATATTATACACTACGCTGTGTAAGTAATTTATAAAACTAGTTATTATATGACTGTTAAATCCACTCGGGAGGAACGCATAATAATTTTGTGTATCAACATAATTTTTTCACTGTAATTTTTCGATCTATTGAAGGTAAGCCTAAGACTTCATTGGGGTCAATGGAATGACATTTTTATGTATTTATTTTGTTTTTAAATATTTATCATAACACAGCATTGTATACTTATAAAATAAAATTATGTACTTACCAAAAACAGTTACTCATTTGTACATTTAATCAAATGACTATAGATGTATAGTTTAAGTCCAACGACTGTTTAATGTTTTATCTAGTTCATTATATTAAATTAGTAATATTATTATATTGTTACTGGTGGATTGTTCAGCTTGCAGAATCAGTCTGTATTCTAAACTTGAAATGTTATGGTTTATAGCAATGTAATTTTTACAATTACCTACTAAAAATGCTCATGTAGATACATGTAATATTATTTTATTAATAAAGTATTATATTTTTAGTAGGTATACTTTAAAATCACTCCTTTATAAAAGCAACCAAAATACAGATTCGTTTTTTCTAATTTTTGAATTAAGATGTTTTGAGATTGAGATTGTTTAGATACTCATTCTTTCATAAATAAAATAAAAATATAATTTATAACTTTAAATATTGAAAACGTATAGTATATGTTTAGGTACGTATTTTGTATACGATGTGTGTACACTGTACAGTATTCGAGTATTTCGAACAAAATTATGGTTTTAAAATAGATTATGTAAAATATATTCATTTTCTAGCTGGTTATGAATAATAATTATTCAGAATGATCAAATTTAAATAATATTACCACATGCGATATAGTTTAGTCTTTTCCGAGTATAATTACATACTGTTATGTTTTAATAAGTTAAATTTATTGTTAACCTAATTAATATTATGTTACGTGTTCAGACGAAAATAATGTATAAAAAATCTCAATTTCTATAACTCTTGACTATTAAAAATGTATTATAATTTATTAAATACACTATAACAATATATTGTTTATTTCGTAATTTCATAAGCTCCAAAGTCGGTAAAAAATAATATTCAAACTTAATTTCATTATGGAGTAGGTTTATAAAAGTGCTACAAATGCAATATTACGTTCCGGTAGAGCGCAGATTTGTACGGATCCGCACCGGCCACCAGTATCAAATGTGTGCATGTTTCTGGATGAGTTTCATAGTGAACTAAGCGGGAGTGCGTGCTACATGTGTTATACTACGCTCTCGGAGTAACTGTTTCGTCTCTTCCAAGTTTAGTGCAAATCCACAATTAAAAACAGTAAGTAAACACGGTTTAAAATAATATACAAAATCATTTTTTTTGTTTTAAAAATATTATTAAAATCTGTACTCCATCACAGCCTATTTATTTATTTTGAAACTTATTTATGATTGGACATCTGTAGGTACGCAATTCAAAGATATAAATTATTTAAAAAAAATTATTACTCTCTATAACATGAATATAATTTTAATATAAAAAAATATGTAGGCATAAAAAATGTGTTAACTTATCTATAAAAGTTTAAATAATATAATCCGTGACAAATATTATTAATAAGTTAAATCATATTATTAAGCTAAGTATATAATGATTTCAATTTAAGTATTTTAATTAAATACATCATATTAGTAAGTACCTATACTTTATTAGAATTACAATGTGAATGCATTAGTAATTTAAATAATAATGTAACTCTATAATATCCGATAACAAAGGACAAATATTAAAACAATTATTGAAATACTATATGACTTATTAGTTCTTTCGCAGTCAGGATTTATGAAATAATCTTTTTTTAA